CCTATTCAGCCCATTCAAGTGATTCAACCCGAATTTAATCAATTTCAGTAAAATAAGCTGATTTCGCTAATTTTACTACGAGTATTATCAAACGAACTCTATACTTAGATTGAGTTTATTTTTCTTTTGCATCCCATTATATATGATTTCGAAAATATCAAATTTAAAATTAGCTAAATTATGTACTACCCGTGCATCGCACGGGCTTGAAACCTAGTTAAATATAAAAATACAATAGAAGAACAAATCAACAAAATTAGCTAAACATAAAATAGCATTTCACTCCAATTAACAAACCAGAAAAGTACTTTGTGTCAAATACGTAGTAACTAATTTAAAAACCCCAAATGAATTAAAGAGATGACAAATTAATGGGGGCATCAATAATTTAGATTGGGGACATCATTTTCACACACAATAGGTTCTGTAAAATAAACATTTTTCAGCATTTGAACACTGGAACATAATAATCATTTTCTTACCCACTAACCCTTGACCAAGACAAATTGGCCACCTGCATCATTATTTACGATCTCAAAAAACCGCCGAAACAGTCAAATGCATTTCGACAATATCATTATACGCAACTTCAAATGTTTGAAGATCATCTTAAAAAGCATTATAAGAGCTGTTATGTTAAACCGGTTGGGGGGTTAATAGTTTGTGTATTATCAATTAAACAATTTTTTATAATGTTTATATTATCTATTACAGAGCATAATCTAAAGGCTTGGTATAAAGGCTGCCTGGGTGAAACTAACTGCCCTTGACATGCCAGCCAATCAGGGGGGCATATATGGGGTATAAAGGCTGATAAAAATTATGTTTTTTTCGTGCTCACTGAGAATTTCTAACTACCATAGTTTGGGATTTTAAGGAAAACTTTATCTTATCTATTAATTATACACACATTTGATGAGCAGGAACATTAGCTCTAGTTCACCGAAGCGTGAATCAGAATCTGAGTTGAAATTGGCGGATTGCTTGGATGCTTCAGATAATCTATGCCTGAAGAATTTCGTTTACATGTAATTTTTATTTTTTTCATTTTGAAAAAATTGTAAAAATTAGATATAGGGTAGATTTAGTCTTGCCCAAGCAAATCCGGACCAGATAACAGGTATGCATCTCTACGCCTATCTTCATCCCATGCAAACATGTTTTCATGGACATTTGTAAATTCAAACCACTCACGAAAACTTAATAATTGTTATTTTCCAACCAATTGTATTTCCCAAAAGACTGAATTTTTAACTCTTCTCCACAGTAATATCTTAAAAGCAACATTCACACAATCCATTCAAACTCGGATTTATATTTGTTTTCATACCATGCACCTTTTTTGGAAACAAAAACATTTTTCATAAAACCACACAATTTTATAATTTATGTACTGAACTGCATACCGTTTTTAACCCTCTAATGCATACGTATACTTCAAGACAATGCACAACACATCACACACTACGACATGAAGATATTATTGCAACCACGTCCAACCTGTTTGTGTTTATGTTTTATTTGCCTGCTGTGAGCTGTGGAGAATTGTAAAGTTGGCATGCCTGCATTTATGACCGTGTAAAAGGCCTCAATCCCAAACCCAAACAGTGTCCATTCCTCTCTCCACCAATAAGAATTGATTATTGATCTGGGGGGAAACTTATTTTCAAATTTTGAATTCTGAACAGTGATACAAAATCAGGCCAAATTCTCGTCCGTATTAAACTCACTGTGGGCCTAGAAATTGGCCAATGAAAATTAGGTATTGTGGGTCGAAAATCTAGAATAAATTTGCTCCCCACTCACTCGATGTATCCTAATATACTAACCAATCGTAAAACGCTAAGTAGATCCAAAAATCTGTAAGAAATCTCAACAGTGCCCAAAGTTGCTCTATCCATTCATCCCACACAAAAAAATCTAATGCGGGCCCCTACATCAAATTTACCTACTCAGCATACACTCAGCAAACCTTTGTACACGGAGCATAAACACAAAGGAACTGAAAGTGACGTTTTTGGGGCGGGGGAAACTTGCCCCAAAATCATTTTGCTTTTAGATTATAATAGATTGCAGATTAGCAGACATTGTCAAGAACTAGAGGCCTCTGGTTGTTGAGCAGTTGGCTTCCCTGTTGTAACTTGAGACGGGCAGTGAGCTTATGGTATTAAATTTCTCTTTTTTCTCCTAGACATAGAGTCAAGACACTTCCCTATATATTGTGTGTTTACCCCAAATGGTGACCGTTAAAAAGTCAAATAGGCCCTTGTACCATTTATGAATGTTCAACTCAGACCTGAACTATAAAAATGCTCAAATTCACACACTCAAATTCCCTGTTGTAACTTGAGACGGGCAGTGAGCTTATGTATTAAATTTCTCTTTTTTCTCCTAGACATAGAGTCAAGACACTTCCCTATATATTGTGTGTTTACCCCAAATGGTGACCGTTAAAAAGTCAAATAGGCCCTTGTACCATTTATGAATGTTCAACTCAGACCTGAACTATAAAAATGCTCAAATTCACACACTGAACTCAATAAAAAGATCCCAGGTAATGTTCCAGTTACCTGCCATGTCACCGGTAAGGTACTAACCATGCATCTAATGCGACAACTTAAATGTAAATATAAGTTGAACCTGTCCGACTTGAAAAAAAAAAAGTTTAAAACTGCAAAATATTAAAATAGAAAATATAAATATAAAACAAAATACAAGCTGAAAATATAAAATATAGACGACCATACATTTAAATTTTTTATATGTATGTAAAAAACAAAATATTATATAAATTTTACTCCTTATTTTTACTTTTTCATATGCAGTGAGTGTGAGTTTGTTCAACATTATGGAAAAAGGGCCCCTTGGAAAAAAAAAAATTAAACCGACCGGCCCGACCGGCCCGGCCCGGCCGGGCCTAGGCCCGAGGCCCGAACCGGCCCGGTTCAGTCCACCACTACCTATATGAGGAAAACCCCCAAAAAGTTTTGCCATTTTTTCTGTTCAGAATATTTTGAATTGGTTTTAGAATATTTGCTGGATGGTTCTCAAAAAGCAGGTAAGTAGGCTTCATACCAAGGCACTTAGCCATGATGTTTTTTCGTTCATTTGAGGCTTTTGTGGAGATAATAAAGCAGCATTTCTGCAGGTTTACAAACTGGCCAGAAGCAGTCTCGTATTGTTGTAAGAAAGATGAATTTTTTTTTTTGAAATTGAAGAGATCCATTAGTTGTTAATAATTTATTTTAGCTCAAATTCAAGGTGTTTACTTGTCCTTAAAACTGATTTTTTAAAGTCAACTCACTAAAACCAAAGTAACATGTTACTCTTCCTATGGGATTAGCTCATTAGAGGTTTGACTTTTTATGACCTTCAAAAACTTAACAAAAATGAATGCATTTATCAAATACCAACAAATTTTTAGGGTAAAGCCACTACTAATTAATCCATTACCATAGGTTCCAGTAAAGTTAAACTCTTTAGTAAACGCTTTTACACAATTTTGTCAAAAACCTGTGATTGTTTTTCATGGCAAACCGCTTTTGCACATTTTGGCTCAAATTTGATATGTATGTTCTAATTCCTGCGAAATCCTTGACAAAATTACTTGCAATGATTAACACTAATAATGCATATTGTGCACAAATTTTTACTCAAGATAAGAACTATCAACCCATAAAGGTCATCTCATATATTAGGAGAATAGGAGTTTTACTATATCATTGGTATCTAACTTTGGACAAAGATGATTTATGCTTAACAAAAGGATTACCATGCAACTTTTCAAAGAACGTGGTGACAATATTAATAATATAGTGACAATATTAATAATATGTCCAACTGCAAAGAATTGTTTCATCACCCCCTCAGTAATATTTTTACATTTCTCATTACAAATTGGCATATGCTCTTTGATAGAATTGTCACCTTATATAATATTTTGTCTCGGGAGGAGGCACAACTGCACAAGTTATGCATTTAAGTACAAATACTAAAATTCGGGGTCGAAAGCAAGGGCACTTGCCCCCCCCCCCCCCATGTCCTCCACTCAAATTAGCAAAATTAATACTACCTCCGTTCTAGTGGACTTTGCACTCTTGGAATTAGGTGAGAAATAAGAATAGTAAAAATTGTGTGGTTGAAGTTTGTGCAGAGGAGATAGAAATGAGCAGAACAATAAAACAGTTACTTTAATGGAAAGTGGTAAAGTTTGGGATAACTAAAAAGGAAAAGTTGGCACAGTCCAATGGGACAGAAGGAGTATTATTTAGAAGTCACACGGAATTTATTAAATGTTATTGTCCAAATCAAGACAATTAAATTTAGACAAGTGAAAAATTATCAATTTTTTTTGGATGAAAGCGGCTTACATATAAATCAAACCATTTGAAAAGCAGGTAAACAGACAAAATAACTTTAGAAAACCGCCGTCCCGCGAATTAGAGTCGGAGTCAATTACCTCAGTAATGTAACTCGTTGATCCATATTTGGGCACAACTAAGCCAGTGACGATAATCTCTGTTAGATCATCTCCCACATCCAAACCAGAATCCAACATGTTACAACCATTAAAGCCGAAAAAACCACACAAAAAACAAGACCAATCAGACCAAAAATAAAAATAACAAAAAACAATAGAGTAACTACAAAACTGAAACAGCAATCCGTACCCCCCAGCTCGTCCCTTTCTGTCTCGTGCTTACCCCTCTGAGCCAGCCCAAAAATAGAAGAACAAGGGATACCAAAAGAGATGCTACTCGATCGGCACCTATCTTCCGTCATGACTTCGACGAGCGAAGACAAAATCCAACCCCTACGAAGAGGTAACAGGCCGCCGTTTCTCCAAACCCTAAGACGCTAAGAGAGGGTCTGTGTATTAATGGTTATGTAATGATATACGTAAGTGAAAAATTTTCAATTGAAAATTAGCATAGAATTAATTTGACATGTATATATGCAAATATTGGACATCACGTATGGACGGGCTATATGAGTACGGACGGGCGGCTTGTGTGACAGAGCATTTTTTCGACATTATCTGAAACCCTAGAAAGCTTTTCTCTCTTATTCTTTCTCAAATTTAAGATCTCGATCTTCTACAATGTTGCGTTTATGGGTTAGCGGTTCTGCGTTGAATGCTGTGATGAAGTCTGTTCGGCCTATTCTGGAAGATGGTAATCATGTTTTGGTTTTCTCCGCCAGTGGGGTTCTCCTGAATGGCGCAGATAGCGAAGAAGTAATCGTTGTGAATGCTGACATCAAAGCTTGGATAGAAATCAAATCTGACACCGGTTACAATGACGGTAAGATTACCATGCGGTTGGATCTGAATCGCATGGATGCAATTTGCCTTGCCTGTGCAGGTTGCGTCATCTGCATCGAGATCGACCAAGAAAAGAAGACCATCTCTTTCAAGAAAGTTATGTTTTCGTTTCTGTACTTGATTTGTTGCTGTTGTTGTGGTTGTTCGCCTGATTGCTTGTGACTTTGCAGATTTAGACGCGCCGCCGTTTACCCTGACCTATCTTGAACTCCCTGACCTCAAGGCGCCACCACCACTCCTACAACTCCCTGAACATTCTCATGCCACTGTGAAACTCCCCTCAGAAATGTTCACTATGATTATTGGAGAGCTTTGCTTCACTGATGAGCGTGGTAACACCGCTCGTTGTGTAGATGATAGAATGGGACCTATATCAGTTCCTGATCCTGAAGCTAGCCGCTTAGCGGATGATGAAAGTAAGGATTTGTGGGATAAAATGTTCTATTGATCTTTACTATAGTATTATTGACTCTGGTTGCTGTCTTCTGCTGAAGGCTAACAGTAGTCTTCTTCTTTTGGGGTGGGTTTTCAGTTGTGATATCTGTGACAAATGAAGGCATTAAGTTCTCTATTCGAGGTTATTCTGTATTTCTTGAGGTGGGTGTATGTATGGTTGATCAGAGTCATTTTTTATTATTAACCTTATGTTTTTTCCAAGCCAACCCGAGCTCCATTGACGGACTCTGATGATGTTTTGTTCTTCTCATTCCAGCGGGACAGAGCAATGTCCTTCAAGTTCCAGCATCCAGTGTCCTTAAAATTTGAAGCTGGCCTTCTGGAGCTGTTAATAGATGCTAGTCTTTGGTCTTTGTCAGTAACCATGCGGTTCTATCCGGACTCTCCTCTTCGGCTCCAGTTCAACATTGCAAATGGGCAGAAGTACAGTGGGTCTGGTACAAGAGATTCGCAGGTGAAAAAGCATGTCATGTGTTTCGATGTGGCAGTAATAAGAGATTCTGGTAAATGTTAGAACATTATTTATATGAAAGATGCTTAAGAGGCCTTTCTCTTTGTGGTCAGTAAAATATTTTAATTATCTGTAACAATATTACAGGATCGATTAAAAGTTTCTGTATGAAAAGAATTTGGTAACTAGTATTGTCTATTGATGATTTGTATGATGAATTGGAATAGTTATTGCCCTTGAATACATCCTTTAAAATTGATGTTGAGGTATAAGACTAGTTGTAAAAACCGGACCCGGAAGTGGCCCGGAGAGATAACTAGTGGTCAATCTGGTCAACGATCGATAAACCCGGTCAACATCAAACATATATTATATGTAATTGTATACATGATTAAATTCATAAATAGAAAATGTTAATCTTTAGACATTTTTTACATAATAATAATTGCATAATGCTAACATGATATAAGTCAAGTTAAAAATGCAATTCTAAAGTATTGTGTCTTTTAACAAAAGGGTCAGATAGTCATTTTTACTATTTCAAAACCATCAATAACTAGTCATTTTTTACTATTTTAAAAAATGCAATTCTAAAAGTCTGTATACATAAATAAAAGTGTTATGTACATATATGTACTTGTAAAAACAGTCATCTAAACCAAAATGATCTGAAGGTGACCGAATATATGTGGTTTTCTAAATGTGGCAATTGCTTTTTATTTCTTATTAATTTTCTTTTCCATTTCTTTTCCTTCCCTTTTTTCTTTTAATTCTTTCTTAGTCCGCTGCTACATTCCAATGCACTTGCCTCCATCAATGATTATCTTCTCCTTTCTTTACCTTTACCGTAGTCTTAAGTTTCATACTATTCTAAATTATAGGAGATAATAAACAGTCCTATAAATATGTTGTATTAATGTGTGGTATTTGCAAATTGTATGAATATATGGCTCATCGGCGAAAATGGTGGTTAGCTATTTTTGTACACCAAAACGGGAATTTGCCCATTTTTTGTTCATTCAACCAATGCAACTTGAAGACCACGAGAATGATTTTATATGCTAAATTGCTAATTAGAATTGGAATGAAGGGATTCGGAGCGTCTGCCTTGCTTTAGAGCAAGGCACCGTGCCTGGCCATTTGGAGCCGACCGATCAAATCTTCATCGGCCAGAGATCTCCGGGTGCACATCTCAAAGCTTCACCTTCCTCATCGGACGGTCCCCCTGCGGCAAGGCACTCTGCCGTGCGGCAGAGGATCCCAATTCGGAATGAAGACCCTAGCCGAGTACAAGCCATTTCTTTCTTATTTCCATGGGATTCCTAGGATTGACTGACAAGTTGGATTTTTTTTGGAGCCTGCTATCCAGAAACAAAGAAGAAAAAACAGAGTAAGATGAAGGGCTGATGAACCATCTCTTTTGCTAGCACAATCCAACTTGATATTGAGGAAAAGAAAAGAATACACTAAAAATTAAAAAGAAAATTAAACATGAAAATGTATGGCGGTTGGGTGTATATCTATTATTATTACTACGTATAATCTAAAAGCAAAATGATTTGTGGAGTGGATTCCCGCTCAGAAATGTCAACATCAACACTATATTTTTTAATTTTGAAAATAAATATAAAAGAATTATTGTGTCAAGATTTTGTAGTTCGGTTAGCACAAGAATGTTGGTGATTTAGCAATTCATATCTATTCTAATATAAAAGCAAAAGGATTTTGAGAAAAAATACTCCCGCTTATAATTTATAAATGTCAACATCAAGTGGGTCATCTATTTCCTTCAAAATAATTGTAAAAGAAATTGATGTTCGGGCAAAAAAAAGGAAATTGATGTTCAAAGTCTTATGTTCGGCCGCATTTAAGCTTATGCATTTTCATTAGAGCTTGAAACTTTCGTCTCACATTCTTCTTAACAAACTTATGTTAGAAGAGAGGTATGTAATCGTGTGATAATATTTAATTCAGAACCAAGTCTGGTTATATTTTAATTGGCTGGAAAATTAAGAATAGTAATACTCAATGTAAGAAAATCTAATTTTCTCGTAACTGTACTTGTCGCTTCACATCTCATACATGGAGTATAACTTTTTGAGGTGTTCTAGATTAAATTAAACAAGAACAACCGATATTTGTAGTTGTACTAGATATATTTTGTTATATTTATGTTTTGTTTTGTATGGAATTAGGAAATAAGGTCTAGAGTTGCCTCGAGTTTGCATGTTTTTATTCTACTTTTGGTTCCAGAGGTTTTTAATGATGAAGGAATGTTATACAAAGTTTCCTTTGTAGCTATAAGTGGTAACATAATAAATACTAAAAGTAATTGAATTTACTCAATATGTAATATACAGAGTACTTATTTTCCGATAACAAGTGCATTGGGCACTTACACAATCACGCAACGCGTATAACATCTAGCATTGAGAATAAAGAGGAATATAGATCATTCGACATACTAGACTGTGTAACGGCAATTGACTTTTAATCACAAAACTTAAAACACAACTATTGAGATTCAGATGATGTTAAGAACTAGTGAATATAATATCTTTCTTATTCACGTGATTAGTCTTACTTTGACATAGGTTAAGTTTGGAAATCTTAGGTGTTTTCTTGCATCCATCCATTTTTATGCATAATAATTTTATGGTACAAATTCTATGATGACAATTCGCTCGCAATAAAAGTCATACAAAGGAAATTTGAAAAAAAAAACTTTCTCACGGTGAAACATTTAGTGATTTATACAGTGGGAGCTAATTGAGGGAAGCTAAGGGTCCAACTCATCCGGCAGTGCAAGAAACTCTACATCGCGAGCCGGCCATGGTCATTTGTCTGCTATCAATCGTTGTGTCCTAGGTTTTATATTTTTGAACGTTGGCCATGTTCTTCACTATTCCGTTAATTATGTGCTAATGCTCAGAGTAGCGTAGAAGTGGTCTTCTCCCTAGCTTTCGTCTAGGGTTTGAGTTTCCGGCAGGCGAATTTCGTCGTTTCTTGTCTAGTGAATGATTTAGAGCAATAGTGGGTGGGAGGTCGTTATCCCGATCCGCCTCTCCATAATATGCTTTTCTATGGTTGATGTTTCTGGATGTGCTGCTATTGATCGAATATAGAGGTCTGTGATTGATACCTACAATCAAAAAATTGCTTGACAATTTCTGGATCGAGTTCTAAGCAAGGGAGAAGGAAGATCGGTGGACCGCCCCCTCTTGAACAGCCTCCCTGGAGCAACCAAGGTGCTGTTTGGAAGATGTAACGTTTATATTTACTTTAGTATAAAACGTCAAAATATAAATAAGATTAAACACTTTGTACTTGTGTGTATGTAAACTTGTAAATTTAAACTGTGTTGTGCGGAGTAATGTTTTGAAAATAAAGTATTCTCAAATCACAATCAACTTATTAAATGGGGAGATTTAATTTTCAAGACCAAATATGTACTTGAATCCAAATGTGGAGGAAAATAATTTCAAATAGACGTACGTCCCTAGGAATACGTCTATGTTCTGTGGTTACGCTACAGAAATTTAAGAGCGGCCTAGGTAAAAAAAACACTCGTTATATATCAATCCGGGAAAACTTCTCCTGAAATTTCAAAGTGGATAAATAGAAACAACATTAATTTTATTGAAAAATAAACAATATCAAATTGGTCAAAAGATCGAAGTATGCTGATAAGCTTCTGACCATCTCGCAGCAACACAAGAATTTCTCTGTGAGAAACTGGTGATGGTTAGATCTTAATACATAATAGAAGAAATCATAAATTTAATTATAAAAATGCTTTATCAAGTCTAAAAAATGAAATATGTATCAGCAAGGTAATGATCATGAATTGAAGGAATCTGCATTTTCATATTTTCACTCAATTCATAAGAATAGTCTAAGCAAGGAAAAGACCAGTGAACATCACTCTAGCAAGAGATATTTCATTGATGAATTCTAACAAACACATTCCAAAAAAAGTATTGATTCAGATTTAATCAATACTGGAATGAATCAAGAAGGGAAACAAAGAACTGAATGTAGGAATTTCTCAGAAACATTATATGATAAGTTGTTCAAGACATTATATGTCAATTTGTGTCTTAATATTAGATTACTTGTAGGCTGTAACAACTAAAAATTGATGAACATCAAAATACCTTATTTTCAAACTAAGAACCGAGGATTTTCGAGAAGTTGAAGTACTCGTATATGGTTGGGTTTAATGTTAGACCAGCGGAGAGGTAGTCTGATGTGAGTTTTCTCGCACTTAAAAATGATGTAGTAAAGTGGTTGAAAGTACGAGTATCGTCTCCACAGGGACGGACAAAAGGGAATTAAAGATTAACTAAATTCAGCGAATAAAAATAAAATAAAATAAAATAAAATGCAAGTGTGCGAGATTGATTGATTGAATAAAAATTAAATTAAACTAATGTGAACAATTAACCTAGGGGGTTCTTTCTAATTAATGACGAAGGGAACAGGGATCGATTCCGGGGTAACCAGATTTCTGGCAGATCAGGCCTAATTACATGAAATTAATTTAATTGAGCCTAGCTAATCATTACTAAGTTCTTACCGCTCTGGCGGCGTAGAGTACAATAATTTAGGGGACCAGGCTGATCTCTCATGCGACAGGATCCTAAATTATTGCCAAGACGAGCGAGCTTACGGCCCCTTAATCGCTACTAATCTCTTAGCGAACGATTAAGTGTGTGTGAATGTGTCCTAGAACAAATTAGATCTCTCTTAATTTATTCTACATGCAATTGTAATTCTAGTGGCCATCTAGGTTACAAGAGATATCAGTTAAATTATTCAAACACAAATTAAACGGCATTCATGCAATTAGACCGACAAGAATCTAGCCATACATCATGATTAACCCCTTCATCAACCCCAAATCCCTAATTAAACTACTCACGCCTCATAATTGACGAATCAAAAGAATTGGGATGAATAGAAATAATTGTCATTAATTAAAAAGATGAAACTTACAAAGAATCTCAGGGTCTTGAACAAAATAGCGGAAAAACACTGTAAAACACGTCCCTAAGCTTCTCTCTAGGTTTCCCCCCTAAAAACGGGGTTAGGGAGGCTTTATTTATAGAAAACAATGAGTTTGGGTCGAAAAAGGACAGATCCGCGGTACGCACGGAGCCTACGCACGGCGTGCGTTGCTGCCGTGCGTCCGACGGACCTGCGCGTGAAAATAGGCAACGCACGGAGTGCGTTCCCCTACGCACGTCCGTGCGTTGCTGCCAGTAGCCTTTCGCCATTTTAATGCCTTGAACGCACGGAGTGCGTACCCGGACGCACGGCCGTGCGTTGCTGCCAGTAGCTCCCTTCAAT